GTAAGTTGGAGGGTCAGAGAAAAAGAAGAGGACCTACAGCGAGATGGATCAGCAAAGTGGCAGCATCAATGGGTTCAAGCGTGGCAACAGTTGTGAGGTTTGCCCAGAACGCTATGCTGTGCATAGAGTCACAATGAGTCAGTACTGACTCGATGGCACCTAACAATAACAAGAAGATGTTATCTATATATAGTTTGCTATGATCCACAGAGTCAAATGCCTTAGTCAATAAACAATACTTGAATATCTTTCTGATAGTCTCTACATTTAAGCAAAATCCATCTGATATAAACAATGATATCTTTCATTCCATGTCCTCTTCTGAATCGGGCTTGAATTTCTAGCAGCTCACTGTTGATTATTTTCACCAAAATTTTACTTAATAGTAATATTAATGATATTGTTCAACCATTTTAGCAGCCTGTTGGGTGACCTTTCTTTGGAATGGGCATAAATATAGTTCTCTTCTAGTTGGTAGAAAAGGTACCCATCTACTCAATTTCTTGGTATAGACTAATGAGTGCTTCCAGTGCTTCATCAGTTTGTTGAAACATTTCAAATGGTATTGCAACAATTCCTGCAACTACACAAATTTTCAGTATACCTTGGATGTCTTCCTTCAATATCATCAGTTCTTAATCAAATACTTCCTTTTAAATGATGGCACATAGACCAATTACTTTTGGTACAGTGATTTTTTTTGTATTCCTCCTGTGTTCTTCTGATGATTCCTGAATCATTCAATATTTGGTACACAGAAACCTTCATTGTTTCAAGTAGAGGCTTGAAATTTTTCTTCAGTTCTTTAAGTTTGAGAAATAGTAAGAATGCTCTTCCTTTTTGACTTTTTCCCTACAGGCCTTTGCACATGTCATTATAATACATTACTTTGTCTTCTGGAGCTGTTCTTTGATATTTTCTGTTCCGCTCTTTTACTCCATCATTTCTTCCAGTGGCTTAAGCTACTTTGTGTTCAAGAATAAATTTTAGAGTCTCTTCTCATATCCACTTTGGCCTTTTCTTTCTGTCTTGTCTTTTAAATTAGGTTTTGCTTCCTTTATATATGATGGTCTTGTCATCTTCTCATAATATATTGGTCTTTATTCTTTAGTGTACATGTGTCAATCCTGTTCTTGAGATGGTCTCTAAATTCAGATGAAATATACTTAAAGCTGTTTCTTGATTCTCAAAGACTTGTTTCAATTACTTCAGGCTTGACTTAAACTTTGTTGTTGTTGTTTTTAAGTGCCGTCGAGTAAGT